GATGTTCTCGAGATATTGTTCAATAGATCCCTCTTGGGGCTGGTTTGTGTTTTGAGACGGGGGTCTTGTCTGGTGTCACCAGCTGGCCTAGAACCCACAATTCTCCTCCCTCAGCCTTCTGAGTGCTGGGATTACAGGTGTGCCCTACCACACCCCGAAATCATATTGATTTGCTTCCGTATCTTTTTGGCAGTACTGGGGTTTGAATACGGGGCCTTTGATTAATGTTCGGTGTCTTTTTTTTTAAATACAAAGCTTTCTTTCTTCCCCTGGCACTAAAATGATGTTTTCTTGAAAGTATGTCCTGACTTTTAGGAGACGAAGTCAACAAGACAGTTTTGAACTTTGCATGAAAACTTGGGTGTCAACACCGTTCTCTGAAATGTGGATGTTAATCGATACCTGTACGGATCGAGACCAGAACCTGGCGTTGCCAAGTTGTGTTACACACTGGTCCTGGTTACCCACCTCCATCAGACGTGAATTCTTACACTCGAACTCACCCACGGGACGTCTAAGGAGAAACAGGTTTAGGTCACTGAAGGCCTCCGGTATGTTTCTGTGGGAGACCCTTTCTAATAGCAACTGAGAATGTTCCAGTAAGCAACATAGATCAGCTCTGATGCTGAAAGACATCGCTGTATTCTTTCATTCTAGAAAACAGATCACCACAGAAACTTACACATGGATGCTACTAGTAAGAAAATAGGCTGCCACTGGGCACCAGGGGCTCACGCCTGTCATCCTAGCTACTCAGGAGGCTGAGATGTGAGGATCGCTGTTCAACGCCAGCCTAAGCAGAAAAGTCCCTGTGAGACTCTGATCTCCAATGAACCACTCAAAAACTAGGAGTGGAGCTATGGCTCCAAGTTGGTAGAGTGCTAGCCTTACACCAAAAGAGCTCAGGGACAGAGGCCAGGACTTGAGTTCAAGCCCCAGGACTGACTAAAAAGAAAGAAAGAAAATATGCTTTGGCCAAGAAGAAAACTAACTGCCTTGGACCTAAACTGTATCTTCAGCTGTACGGTCTCCCTCGGTTGGTTTCTTTAAAAGCTACTTACTTAAAAATAAATATTGATATTGCTTCACACGAATGTTTAAACGGCTGCAGGTGAACATTTAAATCACTTTAATGAGTATTTAAATTGCTTGGAATAAATATTTAAGTTGCCTTAAAAGAAAACTCATTGGAAGGAGAGGGGAGGAAGTTTGTGAAAGTGTTGCACATTTTGAAATGGCTCTAGCATGATACATAAATATGCTAATGGTCAACATTTTTACAGTATTTTACAGAATACTAAATACATTCTATCCAATTCTAAATATGAAGTTTAAGGATACTTTAAGATTGATTGAACTAGTCTATTAATGGTTGTAATGTTTTAACAAAGTTAATAAAAAAAAATGATTTACCTGACATGGAAAAAAAAAAAACTACCTACAATGTGTAAATACAATTTAACTCTCATTCTGTGATGTGATCAAATCAGGGAGTTACAATCATCTGTGGTATGGCTTTGGTTCCTTTGGGTGCAATCTCTTATGTGGACACACGGGTTACGGAATGGACCTGTGTAACTGAATTGACTCCCACCTGTTTATTCTAGAACATTTCTAAAGACTTCACTGAGCTGCCATAATTTTTTTTTTTTTTAATCAGCGTATGTAGTACTGAATGACCATTAAAATACCTGAATTGAAACTATTCCAGTCTAGCAGTTTGTAAGATCTGGTGTTACCCATAATTCCGACAAAGGCTGAGTTCAAAACAGCAAATTAGTAGATCAGTTTTAGGTGCAGAATAGTAGAAAATAAAACAAACAAACAAAAAGAAAACTACAAACAAGAGCACAATTGTCAACACCACTGGACAGGAACTGGAAAGACACAGACAGGAAAGTTAATAGAAATAGAAATCGGAAGAGGAGAAGCATGCTACTGTATTCTAGCATTACTTTCTACTTACTTAATTACCTTGATTTTTAAACCCACCCCCCCTTTCTTTTCCTGCTTCACATTTCTGTTTGATGTTCTAACAATGGAATAACTGAAATAATACTTCGTAGAAGTTATAGCAGGCGGTAATCTAGGTCTTAAAAGCTGGTTTTCCATTTATGTGTGAAGCAATTACCACTTTATACCATTAAGGATCCAGACTTTCATTCTGTGTTAGCATTCAACGTTACTCAATAAAGTACAATCGTTCATTAAAAAAAAATTATTTCCAGGGCTTTTCGAGATAGACATATTAATTAAATGTTCCCTTTTGCTGTAGGACCTTTATATAATGTAATCCAAAGAATGTGATCATTTCAATAAAATCAGAAATGGGAATCCTTAGAATAGCTCCTTCAAAATGTATTTCACTGACAACAAAATAAAAATATAACTCATCCACCACTCAAAATACCCTGCGAGGACTAGTCCTTGGATAACAGAATTCCTATTTGCCACCTGAGAAACTATTCTGAAAGGGAAGAGAGAAAATTGGTGAGCTAGTGATTATCACACACCAAACACATTCTACACCTTCTGTTTTCTTCTCTAAGCCTGGAATGTCCCATTTCTTACATGACTACAAATAAATAGGCAAGGCATGCCAATGAAGCTCCCCAAGAATGGGCTTCTATTTAAAAAAAGAAAGAAAAAAGAAACGACACTGAAAAGCAAGCCCTTTACTGAAATGCATTTGCAGAGCACTGGCTGTGCACTCTGATGAGCACTTTACTCAGAGCACGTGGAAAAGACAAAATCAAATCAGCACATTTTCAGTAATAGAAGAAATCACCAATCACTGACCACATTCCAAAAGCCATGTGGCAGGCAGGGGTTGGACCACAAGAGCCCAGAGGATTCACCTCAGCCTGCTGAACTTAGTATTTCTACACTCCCAAAGAACGTGCCAGACTTCAAGAGCTTAACAGATTAAACTGGCCTCAGCCCGAGACTTCTTCTAATACTCTAGACTATACAAGTACTATCATGGAGAGAAAAAAAAAAAAGATCTTAAACCAGAAGCGCTGGTGGCGCACACCTGTCATCCCAGCGACTCAGGAGGCTGAGATCTGAGGATCCCGGTTCAAAGCCATCCGGGGCAGCAAAGTCCATGAGACTCTTAACTCCAATAAACCACCATAAAACCAGAAGTGGCGCTGTGGCTCAAAGTGGTAGAGTGCCAGCCTTGAGTGAAATTAAGTTCAGGAATAGCATGCCCAGGCACTAACTTCAAGCTCTACAGCCAAAAAAAAACAATCTTAAGGTGACCAGAAATTAAGAAACAGGAGGGAAAAAATGAAGTAAAAAAGAAAAAAAAAATGGTACTGCAAAGGTAAACCGGGGAGTCTAGAGTTAAAGAACCCTGGCTAGCACTGCTTTTCTATGATTTCCCCTTCAGAGTGGAAGAAATCTGCTCCTCTGCTATGAACTCAAATAAAATCACAACACATAGCCCAGAGGGGGTCTGTAAAAGACCTCCAAGAATGGCAATGCTCTTGTCTTCAAAAATCACTCTTGGTCAAGTATTTTACACAAATCATTTCAATGCATTCTATTCTTCTGTTCCTAATCGTCACTGTGTTACAGAGAGGTGATTAGAAAACTAAATTAAAAAAATTATATATATATGAATATATAGATTTCAAACAAGAGAATAGTGTGAGCTGGGCGCCGGTGGCTCCCGCCTGTCATCCTAGCTACTCAGGAGGCTGAGAGCTGAGGATCCTGGTTCAAAGCCAGCCCGTCAGGAAAGTCCATGAGAACTCTTATCACCAATGAACCAGAAAAAAGCTGGAAGTAGAGCTGTGGCTCAAGTGGTAGAGTACCAGCCTTGAGTGGAAGGGCTCAGAGAGAGTGCCCAAGGCCTTGAGTTCAAATCCCAGGACCAAAAAAAAAAAAAAAAGAATACTTTAACATCCTAAGAAATGGCTGAGGAAGATTGACATCTAGTCAATGGAACATTCGAGAACAAACTCTACATAGTAAAAATGCCCACCATTTATCCTGTTTTAGATGGAGAAAAATCATTGGAGGATCTCTAGGCCAAGGGTCTAGATTAGGGAGACTCTGACATTTATCTTCTGCTATAATTATGGCTCCAGGCTTTAAAAAGAGAAGCTGCTAAGGCTGGGCAGGTGGCTCAGTGGTAGAGTGCTCACCTAGCATACATGAAGCCCTGGGTTCGATTCCTCAGTACCACACATGCAGAAAGAGCCGGAAGTGGCACTGTGGCTCAAATGGTAGAGTGCTAGCCTTGAGCAAAAGAAGCTCGGGGACAGAGCCCAGGCCCTGAGTTCAAGTCCCAGGACTGACAAAAAAAAAAAAACAAAGAAAGAAAGAAGAAAAAAAGATTTAAGCTGCTTAATCTTTCTTGTTGGTTTATTCAGCATATTTACAGACCAGAAATCAAGGAATCGGTTGTTTTCATCAAATTTCCTAACATATCTTATACCATACTTACAATTACAATGTAAAAGAATCCCAGGAAACTAAGTAATCTATAAAGCGCAAATTTCCTAACATATCTTATACCATACTTACAATTACAATGTAAAAGAATCCCAGGAAACTAAGTAATCTATAAAGCGCTCTCGTCAATGAAAAGGATAAACACTTTAAATGAACGGCCATCATGGTCAGATTGTAATTTAAAAAAGAAATGTCCTGAATCAAAAAAAAAACCTAAAAAACAAAAAACTGCTGATCCAAAAATTATTTGCAGATACCCTCAAAGTGATATAGTGACACCTGAGCCAAAACAGAAATCAAGATCATGTTATTTTTACATGGGAAAGATCGCTGAAATACAGGGTCGTACCATTTCTAAAAAAGATTATGGGAAATCGGTTAAAGTGACATTTGCCAGGGGATGCTTTCTTCTCCTGCTTTGTTTTCTGTTTCTTTTTAAGCTCTTGTCAGGTAGGTTTGGCTTCAAACAATGGCTAGATACATGACACTCAGCAAGGATGGTTAGGACTGAATTCAACATTTCATGACGGACGTACCAGGGTTGTGTATGCGATCCAACAGCTTCACAGACCGAGCGCTGACCACACCACCCACGTGTATCAGGAATCCGGGAGGGAAGGCCGTTAAGGTAAAAAACGGAAACTCCTGGGGGAGAGAAAAGGGAGAAACACCGCTGACCGTGTGTGGAATATATTCAATCAATCAAGTAATAAACGTGCTGTGGAAAAGCTGGCTGTAAGGAAATGCATGCTAGGTCTTTGCTTGAAAAGGCTACTCATGGTGATCACGCAGACTTGGTGCCGAGTTCCCAAGACATGTCACTACACGGTCAACGCGACAAAATCTGGGTATACGTCTCTTTTATTTATTTGTGCCAGTCCTGGGGCTTGAACTCAGGGCCTGAGTGCTATCCCTGATTGTCTTTGTGCTCAAGGTTAGCACTCTACCACTTGAGCCACAGTGCCACTTTTTTTTTTTTTGGGGGTCGGTCGTGGGACTTGAACTCTGGGCTTGGGCGCTGACCCTCAGCTCTTCAGTTCAAAGCAAGGGCTCTACCATTTGAGCCACAGCGCCACTTCCGGTTTTCTGGTGGTTACTTGGAGATCAGAGTCTCACGGATGTTCCTGCCTGGGCTGGCTTTGAACCATGATCCTCAGATCTCAGCCTCCTGAGCAGCTAGGATGACAGGCGTGAGGCTCAATCCGAGATACTGGCAATCTACTCTTCTTTGTTCGCCATCTCCTTTTCCGGCGTCATCTCTCAATGAGAGGAAGTGACTGGTCAACCCTCCTAGCCATGTATATTTTGGGGTGCAGAGCCCCGACAGACCCCCCAATGCTGACTGTATAAAGACCCCTGTGCCCTGAGACAAGGAATCGACAAGAAAGCGTGATCATGGGAAGGGTGGGAGAGAGAAGCAGTGTGGTAGGAGGAAAGCAAGCTTCAAGATGGGGGGGGCCCGCAGAGAACTGGGGAGAAATTACCCCTTCCTGTCACCCCCTTTCTCTGTCACCACTAGACCTGCAGGGAAATCCCAAGGAACAGGAGATGTATGTTAGCAAGACAACACAATTCCCCAAGTTTCTCCAAACTTCTCTCTTCCCTCCTCTCTTAAGAACATAAAATCTTAAAAATTAAGGAGGCCAGGGCTGAGAAGGTGGCTCAGTGGTAGAGCGCGTGCCTTGCATGCATGAGGCCCTGGGTTCGATTCCTCAGCTCCACATAAGCAGAAAAAGCCGCAAGTGGCGCTGTGGCTCAAGTGGTAGAGCACTAGCCTTGAGCTGAAGAGCTCAGGGACAGTGCCCAGACCCTGAGTTCAGGCCCCACAACCAACAACAACAAGAAAAAAAAGTGTTAAGGAGAAGAACTCAAAGAGAAATAAGAGGAAGGAAGGAAGGCAGAAAGGAGGAAGGAAGGAAGGAAGGAGAGGGGGGAGAGGGAGAGAGAGAAAGGAAAGGGAGGAGGGAGGGAAGGAAATTTGCTAGCGCTGATGGCTTACACTTTTTATCCTAGCTATTCAGGAGGCTGAGACTGGATGATCACAGACCGAAGCCAGCTCACACAAACAAATCTGAAGGACTGTTAGCTCCCATTAACCAGCGAAACGTGTGAAGTGGCCAGGCAGCAAGGGCTCCCACCTGTCATCCTGGCTGCACAGGAGGCTGAGATCTGAGGATCATGATTCAAAGCCAGCCTGGGCAGAAAAGTCGATGAGACTCTCCAATGAACCACCAAAAAAGGCCAAAAGTGGAGCTGTGGCTCAAGTGGTGAAGTACAAGTCTGGAGTGAAAGCAGCTCAGGACAGTGCCCAGGCCCTGAGTTCAAGCATCAAGACTGCCACCAGAAAAACAAAACACAACACAACACAAGTGGAGATGTGGCAGCAGGTATGAGCAAAAAGCCAAGCAAGAGGGGCTGGGCAGGTGGCTCAGTGGTAGAGTGCTTGCCTTGCATGCCTGAGGCCCTGGGTTCGATTCCTCAGCACCACATAAGCAGAAAAAAAAGCCGGAAGTGGCGCTGTGGCTCAAGTGGTAGAGCGCCAGCCTTGAGCTGAAGAGCTGAGGGACAGCGCCCAGGCCCTGAGTTCAAGACCCATGACAGACAAAAAAAAAAAAAAAGCCAAGCAAGAGTGAGACCCCGGAAGGTGAGAATGTGGAAGGGGTGAAGGAGGTGTCACGGGTCAAGATGCACCGTATCTATAAACTGTTCTATGGCACCTCCCCTGAACAACTACTTAAAGACAAAAACTTAAAAAAAACTTAAATGTGTTACGTTAAACAACAAAAGGGCTAGAAAGATGGCTCAGTGGTAGAGTGCTTGCCTGGCATGCATGAAGCCCTGGGTTCGATTCCTCAATACCACAGACACAGAAAAAGCCAGAAGTAGCGCTGTGGCTCAAGTGGTAGAGCGCTAGCCTTGAGCCAAAGAAGCTCAGGGACAGCACCTAGGTCCTGAGTTCAAGCCCCAGTACTAGGGGGAAAAAAAAAGTGACAGACCCCGAGTTTAAGCCCTAGTACCAACACACACACACACACACACACACACACACACAAAATGCATTAAAATAGCACACAGGAACAAAGAGGCAGGCCTATGAATGATTCAAACGTGGAAATTGTGCTATCTGATCTCTGACTACAAGAGTAATATAGAAGCAGGGTGCTGGAGGCTCACGCCTGTCATCCTAGCTACTCAGGAGGCTGAGATCTGAGGACTGCAGTTCAAACCCAGCCCAAACAGGAAAGTTTATGAACCGCGATCCTCAGAGCTCAGCCTCCTGAGTAGCTAGGATGACAGGTGTGAGCCACCCAGGTCAGGAAAACACGGAGTTCTTAAAGCTGCCTCTATCTTAATCTCTGGATGAGCGTGGATTAAAGGCAACTTTAAAAAGCTGGGAGCCAGAGGAGTTCGAGAAACAGGCACCAAAATACAAGCAGCTGGGGCTCTGGCCGGCTTCTTTGAGCATGGGAAATTTCACTGAGCACAGCACTTGGGCAGACTCAACATGTGGCCAGCAGTACCCAGGAATGTGTTCACTCGTGTGCCCACATATCTGCATATTCAAGATCAACTGAGTTACAATTTATAAGTGATCTCTAGAGTAACATGGGGGGAAAAAAAGTATCTATGTAGTATAAGAATAAAGCCAGGAGCTCGTGGCTCACGCCTGTCATCCTAGCTACTCTGGAGGCTGAGATCTGAGGATTGGGGTTCAAAGCCAGCCTGAGCAGGAAAGATGGTGATTCGCTAAATCTCCAACTAACCAGCAAAAAGTCACCAGGGGAGACATGGCTCAAGTGGAAAGGCACCAGCCTCGAGTGATGAGGCCAAGTCAGAGCGTGAGGATGAGAGTTCGAGCACTGGGACCAGCACAAAAAGAAGGAAGAAAAGCTGGGAGGGAGAGAGCGAGGGATCGGGGACCTTGTCCAAGAAGAAATGCACTCATTCTCTGACTTACGTAACTGCCGCCCCGCTGTACATCACCTTTAAAAACAATTTTTAAAAAACTGAAAGAAGAGAATAAGGGGGCTGGGCAGGTGGCTCAGTGGTAGAGTGCTCGCCTAGCATGCATGAAGCCCTGGGTTCCATTCCTCAGCACCACACACACAGAAAAAGCTGTACGTGGTGCTGTGGCTCAAGTGGTAGAGTGCTGGCCTTGAGCAAAAGCAGCTCAGGGACAGCACCCAGGCCCTGAGTTCAAGCTGGAGAAAGAGGAGGGGGAGGAAGGGAGGGGAGGAGGAGAAAGAAGAGGAAGAGGAGCGAGGGGGAGAGAAAGAGAGAGAGAGAGAGAGAGAGAGAGAAGAAAGGACAAGAAAGAAAAACACCAATCTGTGGAACTGTTTAGGTTTGGCCCCTGCTGAGAGGCAGGGAGAAAGGAGGGAAAGATTGGAGGAGAAAATATCACTAGTGAAACATCTAGACAAAATGCATTATCTCCATCTGGACTGTTTCAATGTCTATTTTAGAGGAGAAATGCTCATACCATCAAATATGTGAAGACTTTTCCTAAGTGGGGCCTAATTCTCAAATCACCTCAAAATATCCGGAATGTCAAATGGTCCAGCAGAATAAAGACAGGTAATTTGTTTTTCATCTCTGTATGGCTATGTCAGAAAATACACAGCCAATGCTGGGCATGGTGGCTCCCGCCTGTCATCCCAGCGACTCAGGAGGCTGAGATCTGAGGATCGAGGTTCCAAGCCAGGGCTGGCAGACAAATTTAAGACACTGTCGTCTCCAATGAACCAGAGCCAGAGGGGAAGCTGTGGTAACAGTGATTGAGCAAAAAAAGCCAATGGACAGCACCCAGGCCCTGAGTTCAAGCCCCAGCACCGGCATTAACAAAAGGGGTTGCAAATTTCATCTACACTGAATCCAAAATTATTTCCATTGATTATCTGTTCCTCATAGTAAAATGGTTTTAAAGGTTCTTTGTACGGACTGTAAGGTCACAGACATATCGGAAGTCTTGTATCTGATTTCAAATCAACTCTGGCTGTTCTGGGGAGGAAAATTCCAGAACAATAATTAGGGACCCTGGAAAAGGACATTCAAAACAAACAAACAAAAAAAAAAAAACAGGAGAGCTGAGTGCCGGTGGCTCCCACCTGTCATCCCAGCTACCCAGATCTCAGAAGGCTGAGATCTGAGGATCATGGTTCAAAGCCAGCCTGGGCAGGAAAATTCATGAGACTCTCATCTCCAATGAACCACCAGAGAAAACCGGAAGTGGAGCTGTGGCTCAAAGTGGTAGAATGCTAGCCTTGAGGAAAAAAAACTCAAAGGACAGCCGCCCAGGTCCTGAGTTCAAGTCCCAGGACACACATGGACACACTCGGATGGAAGGACACACACGGACACACACACGGACACACACACACACAAATATACTATTTGCTAGAACAGAATAAAAAAGAACTGTTCTCAAGAGCCAAATTCTGGGGGTAAAAAATACCTTTCCCTTCTATCTTTTCTATCATCAACATACATAGGCGTTCATGACTATGTTTTTCGATCTGATGGTCTAAGACACAACACAGAAAACTGCATTAAAACTTTAAACAAATGCGGACAGCTTTGGGAACCAGACAGGATGGAACGCGAAGGCAGTGTCATGTCTGAAAGGAAATGCCAAGATAGAAAACACCATGCGCTCCACCAGCACAACAGAGAGCCGGGGTTTCATGGGGGGCGGGGGGGGGGCTGTCATATTGCTGTTTGGTGGTTGTTTACTATTTTGTTTTCCAAAATGAAAAGAAGCAAGCTGGCGACATCTGTCACAAAGCCGAAATGAAACTTAAATGGCCAGGATTGCAGGTAGCAAAGCTTCTGCTACAAGAGCCAGGTTCTCCAAGGTGTGGGGACACATACCCGCCCTCCGCAGAACCTAGGTCGTGATCCGCCCTGAGCCCCGACGCCAAAAGAAAGAGAGAGAGAAACATCACCCGAAACGATCACAGCCGCGCCCCCCACAGCTGCCCTGAGCATCACCCAGAACATTCCACACTCACTGCCAAGAGATAGATTGTCCTCTTGACCAGTCAGATCATTCACACGCCATACATTATCCGAACTAGCCAAGCATCCATCATCGATACATTGTCCTAATTCATAGGAATGGGTACAATTATAAAAGGTGAGTATTTGTGATACATCGCAGAGAAATGACAGAAGTATCGCACTTAATGACCGCATTAACATGTTGAATGATTAATTCTTGGTCATGCAATCAAAATGCTACTCCAAGTGTTTTCTGCAAATATATGAACCATCAAAATGTTTTCAGTTGGGCACTGGTGGCTCATGCCTTTAGTCCCAGCGACTCAGGAGGCTGAGATCCAAAGCTGGTCCAGGAAGGAAAATCCATGAGACTCTCATCTCCAATTAGGCATCAAAAAAAAGCCAGAACTTCCAGCACCAGTGGCTCCCGCCTGTCATCCCAGCTACTCAGGAGGCCGAGATGTGAGGATTGTGGTTCGAAGCCAGCCCAGGGAGGAAACTCAGTGAGACTGTTATTTCCAATAAACTACTGAAAAGAGCCAGAAGGAACATCGTGGCTTATGTGGTAGAGTGCTCACCTTAAGCAAAAGAAGTTCCAAGCCCCAGAACTGACACCAAAAAAAAAAAAAATTATTTCAGCTTTTACTGGGAATTTCCAATAAACGATCAGAAGACAAGAAACGGTTACAGGATTTATCTAATGCAAAAGTTAACATTTAGAACGGAAATACGTGGGGGCCAGACGTCAGCGGCTTCCATCTGTCATCCCAGCTACTCAGGAGGCTGAGATCTGAGGACTGCAGTTCAAAGCCAGCCTGGGCAGAAAAGCCAATGAGACTCTTTATCTCCCAGGAACCGCCAAAAAGCAGGAAATGGGGCTGTGGCTCCAAGTGGTAGAGCGCTAGCCTTGAGGACAAAAGCTGAGGGACAGCGCCCAGGCCCTGAGTTCAAGTCCCAGGACCGGCGCGCACACACGCACACACGCACGCACGCACGCACGCACACACACACACACACACACACACACACAAAGGAAGGAAATATTTTGATGGCTTGCAATGCATTTTGGATATGAAAAGCACCATGTGATAACGAGGAGACGTCATCTCAAGGAGCAGGTGGAGAATGTAAACGCAGGCTTACCCTCTGCTCCAGCGCTGACTGGGTCTGTTGTCTCAGAAGCGCTTTGAAAGGCCCGTCCTTCCCAGCACTGCCCATTCCTACAGGACAATCAGCACACAGATAACCAAAACAGTGGAGGAACACGAGCCCGACTCAGTCTTCTTCACAAACACGTGATTAAAAAGCATCCACACATTTCACAGCACTGGAGAGGCAACCTAAGTACAGCTCTGGATAGCAGTCCATTTTTATAACATCAAGTCTAACCAAAAAGTTAATCCAAATGGTGTCTATTGTTAATCTAACAAAGGACACAAAAAGAAATGAGCAATATTTGATCAAAGTTAAAAAAAAGTGAAAAGAGCACTTAACTATACTGAACATATCCCAAAACTGTAGAGAACAAGAAATTGAGATAAAATTCAAGGTATAGCAAATTATATTCTCCTAGTTCCAGTTCTAAAAATAATAAAGTAGTATTAATTTCATACTTGTTAGCATTCATTCGCAAATGTCAACAAAGTTTTTTTGAAATAAAGAAAAACTAAACTAAAAAAATGGACAGACAATAGACACATCATGAATGTAGATAGTTATGGATGAAAAGGAATATATTTCTCAAGCTCTTAGATGTATTTTTTAAGGCTTAATATTAATGTTTTCCTGTCTTGCTTTACTGATTTGGAAATACCACCAGAACAACTATGGTAAGATTACAGTCTATAATCTATAAATATAATCTATATTATGCTCTATACTCTAGCATCATAATCTATATTATATATAAAATATAATTTATAAGCAAGGGAAGGTGGGAAGTGTTCTACACATCAAAACTAACACTCCACCCTTCCAAAGCTGAAAATGCAAACTGACAAATTCACTCCAGCAAGTTTAAAAAAAAAGAACTCATCTAATCATTTTACATTTTTAGCTGGTTTTGGATAAGGAAACACAAGTTAGCATGTGTACAGTCCCACTTCAGTTCTGTAAAAACAAGAAATTCTTTTTTTTTTTTTTTTTTGGTTTTCAACAGTACCCCCAAACGTGATTGTTTCGGACTATACAATGCTAAATAGAAAGAAAACGAAGTTTCTTCAGTGTGAAGTCTATTAAAAAGCCATAACGTAAAAGGCAAATTGGTAGTGATAAGTAAAATATCAAAAAAAATGTTCTTAAATGACAAAATAATTTGACTAATGCAGTAGGCAGGGGGGGAAAAAAAGGATAATTAAAGAATATCACCAAAAATGAGACTTAAACTGATTCAAACACAGTAATTTACTCATGGGTCGGCGTGGTTTGGTGAGAAGATGGGACAGGTCCAGTGTGAAATGGAGCTGGTGTGGAGGGAGAGGAGAGAAAGCATCTAATCCTCATGACGGTGACCCTTCAGTCCGTGTCCTCCGACAGAAAATAAGGGACAAATACGCGTCGGGGACATGTGGGATGATCCTCCACTGGGCCGTTCTCAAGGCTGTCCCTGGGATCATGCTACAGGTGCAGTGGTGTTCAGCAGTGGGATCGTGAGCAGAGCTCCGTCCTTTTGTCTAGAGTAGGAAATCAGGAAGAGTCGCTTTGTTTTGTTTTTGTGTTTTGCAAAGTGGATGACAGCATGGGATCCTACCAGAAGTAGACAGGAACAGCTCGTCACTGAAAGAAACGCTTTTCCTCAGGACTGGGCACCCGGGGGAAGGATGAGGGCTAAGGCTAGGTCCCGAGAGAAGACAGGGCTGTGTGAGATGGAAAGGTTCACAAGAGAGGAGAGGGGAGCTGGGGCTCTGGGAGACCCCAGCTCCTGGAGGGGAAGGTGCTGTGGGGAAAAAACAAAAGACAAAAAAAAAAAAGTAGCAGAGATGCAGGTTCAGAAGGTGATCAGAAAAACACACACGAAGGCAGACAGGCAATGGGGGCGGGCGGGACTGGAGCCAATGAACGTCAATGTACAGACAGGTGCATGAAGCAGAGGAGAACCATCAGCAGTTCCACCCAGCACAAGGCAAATAAGCACACGGCTAAACTTAATAAAAAAAAACAAAACTCAAATGTTCTCTTCCTTTACATGTGTTCAACTTGATGCCTTTTGTGTGTGTGTGTGTGTGTGTGTGCCAGTCTTTCTGGGACTTGAACTCAGGGCCTGGGCGCTGTCTCTGAGCTGCTTTTGCTCAAGGCTGGTGCTCTACCACTTGAGCCACAGTGCCACTTCTGGCTTTTTCTGTGTACGTGGTGCTGAGGAATCGAACCCAGGGCTTCATGCATGCTAGGCAAGCACTCTACCACTGAGCCACCTGCCCAGCCCTTGATGCAGTTTAAACTTTCTTTTTTTTTCAGTGATGGGGTTTGGATCCAAGGCATGGACGCTGTCCCTAAACTGTTTTTTCTGCTCAAGACTAGCTAACGCTCTGCCACTTGAGCCATAAGCCATTCATTGTGACACTCTCCAATAAACCACTAGAAAACCAGAAGTGGTGCTGTGGCTCAAACGGTAGAGCGCTCGCCTTGAGCTGAAGAGCTCAGAGACAGCACCCAGGCCCAGAGTTCAAGCCCACGACCGCAAAAAAAAAAAAAAAAAAAAAATTTCATGGACTTTCCTGCCCAGGCTGGCTTTGAACCGTGATCCTCAGATCTCAGTCTCCCGAGTAGCTGGGATGACAGGCGGGAGGCACCAGCGCCTGGCAGTTGTAATCATCCTTAAAACACAGTTCTTAGAAATGTAAACTACTTCCCTTGTTCTGTTTAATTTGAAGGTGGAAATGTACCACATTGTTTAAGTATACCTAAAAATGAGTTGCACCAAAAAAAAAAAAAACAAATTCAAAGTAAATCTTTAAATTGATTCTAGATCCTTGTCTAAAAAAGAAATGTACTCATTACCTAACTTATGTACCTGTGACCCTTCTGTACATCACCTAAGCAATAATAAAAAAGAAAAAAAAAAGGGGGAATAAAACTGTTTCTAGCTAAGAGGTAACATACTGTGGTATTTTAACATTGAATGTACATTTTTGTGTGTGAGCTAGTCCTGGAGCTTGAACTCAGGCCTTCTATCACTTCAGAAACAGCCTTCACTTCCGGCTTTTTGCTGGATAATTGGAGGTCAACACCTGGCTTGCATGTATATTATTTTTTAATCAAGTATTCAGTACCATATAAGGTAGACAGTGGCCATTTTTAATTTAAAATAGACTAACTTATTTCTGTCTGATTTTGATGTTGAGAATCTTTTTCTTCTGCAATGTCTCATCTATCTTCTGATTACAGTACTGTATGCATATGCACAGATTTGAGTTCAGAGTTCTAATACTCTCTGGATGATAAAAACAAAGTATAGTTAACAGCCTCGTTAAAAAATTATCAATTGCCTCAAAACAAGGATTCAATTAGTATCCAAACACTAGCATTCAGAAATTCCAGGCTTATTAGTTGAGTATTTAGGAATAAGCTGGGCAGGTGGCTCAGTGGCAGAGCACCTGCCGAGCATGCATGAAGCCCTGGGTTCCAGTCCTCAGTACCACATAGAAAAAGTCAGAAGTGGTGCTATGGTTCAAGTGGAAGAGCCCAGAGAGGCTCAGGGACAGAGCCCAGGCCCCAAGTTCAAGCCCCAAGACTGGCAAAATAATTAAAAAGAAATATAAAAAAGAAAAAATAAGAATAAAAAGAGAGAAAAGAAAAAAAAAAGAAGAAAAAAAATGATTCACAAAACACGGTGGTTTTGGTTCTGTTTGGTTACAAACATCAAGGCCAGAATCTATTTTTTTTTTTAAATAGACTACAGTTTGAGCGGTTCAATGTTTATGGCAGTAAGTCTGACCAGAATGCACACACACCAAAGCCCTGGTGGCTACACCCAGCTAGAGCCTGAGCTAGGATTCACCAGCGGGCCTGTCCCTCGAACTTTCCAGAAATGGGACCTGCATGTCCTAAACCATCGCTAGATCCTCTACCAAAAAAAAGTCTCATGGACTTTCCTGCCCAGGCTGGCTTTGAACCATGATCCTCAGATCTCAGCCTCTGAGTAGCTGGGATTACAACCATAAGCCACTGGCACCACTTCCAGTTTTCTGGTGGTTCATGGGAGATAGGAGTCTCACAGACTTTGCTGCCCAGGCTGGCTTCGAACCGTGATCCTCAGATCTCGGCCTCCTGAGTCCCTAGGATTACAGATGTGAGAAACTATCGCCTGGCTGTGACTTTGTATGTGTGTGTATATGTTTTTTAATTTTTATTTTATTTTTTGTTGTTGTTGGTTGTGGGGCTTAAACTCTGGGCCTGGACACTGTCCCTCAGCTCTTCAGCTCAAGGCCAAGTGCTCTACCACTTGAGTTACAGCGCCACTTCTGGTTTCCTGGTGGTTTATTGGAGATCAGAATCTCATGGACTTTCCTGCCCGGGCTGGCTTTGAACCATGATCCTCAGATCTCAGCAGCCTGAGTAGCTGGGATGACAGGCAGGAGCTACAGGTGCCTGGCCGTGAATACAATTTTTATTGTTCTTTAAGATTATAACAATGTCAGCAGTTGTTGTTTAAAATATAATGGAATTATTTAAAGAAACGAGCTCTGATTTGGGCAGTTAAGTATCTCATTTCATGTCTTATCAACTTTTGAGAAGAAAACATAATTCACAGAAACCCAAGGGTTACTCATAAAAACACAAACAGAAATGAACAAAATGGAAAGTGAAAAAAATTGAGAAATAGTCCAAGTAAAAACAAAGCAAAACAACGTTGGGTGTCTAAAAACAAACAAACAAAAAATGCTGTTTTCTGACTTAGGACAATTAAGATGAGCAAAAGCAAAGGTCGTACACCACAAATGGAGAAATGAGGGGTGCCACCTGCTCCCCTCTACCCTGCAGGACCTCCTGCATAATGCTTGGTAAGTCCTACCACTGAGCTAGCCACCAGCCCCATCTACAAATAACTAGAGATCACTACACTGCCAGGAAACCATTGCAATTCTGGAAGATTCCTTCCAAGATACCATGGTGTTTTATTCCTGCTCCGTTTGGCCAGGGGGGAAAATGGAAAGATCCACACCCCAAAAGAAAAGTGTGGACTGGATCTCCACAATGAATTGGATCTATTAAAAAGAAAAGAAAAATGCCCATCTCTCAACAAGATCAGGTCGAAATGATTTAAAAAAAAAAAAAAAAAGGATAAAAAAGAAAAAGCTTCCTACTTTAGTTGAAGTCACTGAAAAACGATCGCCCTATGCACCCTGGAGGGGACTGAAGCAAAAAATCCAGAGGAAAGAGTGGCGTGAAGATGTCCCAGAAACGAAATAAGAATTTTCCAATTTAAAAAAAAAAAAAATTAAAAAGAGGAGGGAGGGAGAGGAGGGGAAGGGAGGGGAGGGGG